GTTGAGTAAGAGTTTTTGTTAATCAAATAAGCTTTAAAGCTGTATAAATCTGAAAAGTGATTGTAATCACACTGTAACTTCGGTTTAAGGCAATGGTTCTCAAACTTTATACTCTCCAGCTTCATCCTGCCAGAACTTGCTTGGCAACAAATCAAATAAGTCAAGCATTAAGGTAATCAGTAACAGACTAGCTCAAGTCTAGAAACCAGGAAAAATCACACTGAACCTTTCTGGTGCTCAGTAAGTTAGTTTTCCCACCCAGAAAAAAAAACAAACCAGTATTTCACCAAACAGATGAGAAGGAAAGGAAAACAGACAATGAGAAGATGAACAATGTGCCATATGATATCAAACCACTCATCTTTAAAGGGGGTAGTAACTACTTAAAAAGGGCTCTTCGTTCAGGTATTCTGAAGAACAACATGCTAAATCCATGTTTTCAGCTGGGATAGATTTAGTTTCCTTCTTAGTAGCTGATGCAGTGCTGTGTTTTGAATTTAGGATGAAAATAATGATGATAACACACTGTTGGTTTGGGGGTTGCTGAGTAGTGCTTACCTTAAGTCAAGGACTTCTCAGTGTCTCATTCTCTGCCAGGTGCACAAGAAGCTGTGAGGGAGTGTGGCCAGGACAGCTGGCCAGAACTGGCCAAAGGGACATTCCACAGCATAGACTACCACACTCAGTATGGACATAAACTGGAGAGAGCTGGCTGGAAACCCTCTGATTGCTGCGGGGGGACAGGCTGGGCACTGATCAGCAGGTGGTGAGCAATTGTGTTGTGCATCACTGGTTTTTCTTGGGTTTTATCTCTCTCTCCCCCTCTCTTTCTCCCCCTCCTTTTCATCACAATTATTATTTTTATAATCATATTTAGTATTGTTAGTAACATTATTTTATTTTACTTTAATTATTTAACTGTGTTTATCCCAGCCCACAAGTTTGGCATTTTTTCTAATTCACCTCCCCATCCCACGGGGAGAGAAGGGGAGGAAGGTGAGTAAGCAGCTGTGTGATACTTCGTTGCCAGCTGGGGCTAAACTACACACACACATGGTAAGTCATTAAATGTGATCATCTGTTCTAAAGCAAAAAGTGGAACATAGGAACATTGCACAGATATATTTTGTCCATCAGCCTAAAATTTTAAAACGTTTTAACTAATCCAGTAGCAATTTTTGCTGATGTTACTCTTCTCAGGGAGTTAGCAGGTAAAATGTCAGGGGAAGGGGGAAATTCGAGATGAAAAAGACTGGCAGATTTCACGTGCCATTTGTTTGAAAATTTATTTCTCCTTGGAAATGTTCTGTGGGCTAGGGGGGAAGAAAAGTGCCTTCTTACAGATAGGAATGTTTTTAGTGTGACTGTAGAAAGTAGCAGTACAGCTAAAGCAGGGACGTTCCTGGTGACTTATGTTGCACAGCCTCGTTTATGGGACAGGCACAACCAGCCTCTGCCCTGACATTTTGTGCTTTCACATCAGAGTCAAAGGACACTGAGAGAGACACCAGGAGCAGGAGACGAGTCCATGAGTCATCTTGCTGTTCCTCATTGTGGAAAAGCCTCTTTCTGAATTTGTTTCTTCATTTGCTCTGTCCAAGACACACAACCAGTTACCCGCTTAGGTTAAGTTTTGGAAAGGGGGCTGGAATGATAGTGCAAATAGAAAAACAAAATGTGGAGCTTGTGAAAATTCTTCTTCCAGCTTTTTTCCAGAAGGAAGACTTTTCACCTGCTGGTTTCCATATTGCAACATTTCGGAGGGGGTTTCCACAGATAGAGGATATGAAAATGAGAGAGGAAGAATTGCTACAGGAAGCGGATTTATTAAAAAATATGTCTGAAGCATTTTTTATCACATCTTTGAGTAAATTGTTGTGCTGTGTAAGACTCATCACTGTGTTTGACACTTCTGCAGGCAGAGCATGAAAATAAAGTAGCATGTATTTTACGCTATTTTTTAATATAATAGAAAAGGTTCTACCTTTTCATAGTGGTTTTTTTTGGAAGGGGTTTGTTTTTGGTGGGGTTTTTTTTGTTTGGTTGGTTTTTTTTGTTGCTCAATAGATTAATGTAATTTATTTCCATGGAGGTTTAGAACTTACAAGGTGTTCTATGCAGCAGTATGCAGTGTCTTAGAAAGCACAGATCAGTCTTTCCAAATATTTATGAGAATTCATGAATGAAAGAATCATCATGCAAGTCAATGTCCTCTAGTCTATCTCCTGCAGCCTTTCTTCCTCTGACACATTCATCATCCCTGTCCTTGCCTGCCAGGACATAAAAGCAGACAGCTGTTGCTAGCACTACTCTTTTGCTAGTATTGAGGACCTGAGAACCCCCATCACATCTTTCCTTGTCAGAAAGAAAATTACTTCCTCTGGAGCCCAGATTTCCCCTCTTCTGCTGTGTGCAAATCTGCTCACGTGTTTCTACGTGTACCTCGGTGCTCCTTGTGGTTTTCCATAAACAATTGCATACATCTCCTTGAAGCAGGAGAGCTCCTGCAGGCAGGGATGCCATCTCAGTCCCAAGAGAGTCAGAAGCTGCAACTCTTTCATCAAGTACAAGATCAGCATCCTCTTCCTGAGCAATGGCTTTTGTTCTCTGGTTGTCAGTCTAATCAGAAAATTGTTGGCTGATGAACAAGATGTTTCTGTACAATTTCTGTCACCCACTTTGTGTGGCAATACATGGTCTTGACTTATCATGGATTTAATATATGGCTCCTCATTGACAGCTGAAAACAGTGTAGTAAAGAGGGTATGAAGAAATTGTAGGGTTTTTTTCATGGTCTTTTGTAGCTTTGATTTTTTTAAAATTAATTTTTTCATGATTTCTCAAGGTTTACTTTTGTCTGGTATTAATTCTCTGTACAACAATCATTGCAACAAGTGCTGCCCTCCTGTAGCTTATCTGCAATGTTTTTGCCCATGTGCTTATGGATAAAGCAATTTTCAATTTCTTTCATAATTTTAACCCACATGTAGTTCTGCTCTGTATGCCAGATAGCTGCTCTGTGGCTCATGGTGGCACTCAAAGCTCCAAAATTGAATATATGTGATAAAAGTCAAGGACTGTAGTGTGTTTTTATGTTTTGAGTTGACATAGAAAAAAAAAAGGACAGATAGTTATGACAGTATCTGTTAGTCTTAAGAGTGTCATTGCTTGAGTGCAGAAGAAAAAGAATGGAGGGGGAGTGTGCCTTTGTTTCCTTCTAATGCACCTGTTCGTTCTGCTTCTTTGTAGATAGGGGTTTGTCAATCTGACAACGCCATCGATATGACCTTTCTCTGTGAGTAGGCACAAGGAACAGATGAATCAAAAGGAACACATGAATTAAAACCAGAGGTGTCTCTTGTGCATCACCCTCTGCACTGTTGGGAAGGATATGCTCCAGTTAGATGGAAGCAGGCCACCTGTGGCAGCGGTGTAGCTGTGACAGCAGTGAGCACACTCATTTGTGTGGTAAGAACCACCCATAGCTTTCCATCAAACTAACTTAGGAAGTCAGGGATACAAATGGGATTTTGGTTTTGGTCTGCTTGCCTGCTCTGTTTATGCAGAACTTCATGCAGAGAACAAAAACAGAAGATATGCTTAGGGTTTTGATATTCTTTGCTCCAGAATGTCTGAGGATTTTCCCAGTCTTCATTGGATATCATTAAAAATTAATGGGGTGACTAAATGGCTTACAATTTTACATGATCCTTTGATGTGAAAGCAATTATTAATGTCTATAATTATCTCCAGAACTACTTGGGTCTTGCAAACAGCATTCAAATCAACATTTTTAACTGTTTTCAAGGGGATGTCATTATATAATTCATAGTGAGGAATAGTACCCTACAATCTGAGCTCAATATTATTGTCCTTTCAGAATTTACTTCTCAGACCATTCTTCCGAAGAGTGATCATTTTTTAATCTAACCAGTTTTTAAAGTGCATTTAAAGATCTCAGCAGGGGTCTAGGTATTGAATAGACCTTATCTCTATTGCTTTAATGTGAGTCTTTGATGTTACAACACTGAGATCAATGCTTAATCCATTATCCTCTGAATTAGGAGGACCACAGTGAGATCTACACATCTGCTCTCCCACTGTCTTTTCTGCCCATAGCCTACCCACTGGGGCAGAGTGGGAAAGAGAGAAATCTTGGTGCTGTGCAAGTTCACTCCATCCCACCAGAGCTGGTGCTGGTGCACGCAGCCCCATGGCACCCAGGCAGAGCAAGAAGAGAAGGTCCAATTCCAGCCAGCAGCCAGTGGCTGCCAGACAGCTGTGATGGGCAACACAGCTTCAGCATCACACCAGGAAGTCAAGTCAGTGGGTCAGGATTATTTCAGCAAGGTAAAAAATGTCAGACAATACACAGCCAAGGACATCAAGACATGATTGATTGAATGGCTGAGGACATGCATGTATTTTCCTTTTTTCTCCCCCATACTTGCACAACATTTTGCTGGACAGATAGATCACCAGCAGACTCACAAGCAAGGTCAGATGACTCTGACCTTTCCCAGGCAGGTCACCTTGGAAACATTGGTCAGTGAGAATAGGCAGCAACACAGGATATTACTTCAAAGAACAATTTTTTTATTTAGCCCCAGGAGTACAGTAAGGGAAAAACAGTGTACTTGTTGCACCACCTGCAACTTTGCCAATTTTTCTAAAGGCTTTGGTAGATCCAACTTTAAAATCTCTCCCTTTCTACTTCATCTCTGTGATACTAATCTCTAGGTCTACCTTTGAAAATCATGGACTAATCAAATTATTTTTGAATAGGATAACTCTAGAAGAAGGCACGGTGACTCCAGAAGAAGCCATCAGACCAGTATTTTCAGATTTTGGGACTTGCTGCTGGACGCTGGACACCTTACACTTTTTAAAAGAGGCAGAAAGGAACATGAAACCATAGGTTTTTCAACAAAGTTTTTTTTATGTAAATGTCAAGGCAAAAACATTTATTCAGGATTGACAGAGTAGGCATAATTTTTTTTATTCAAAGAAATGCCATCAATCTGAGGTATTAGTAGCATTACTTTGTAAGTGTACCTTATTATCCTCCCAGATCAAGCTTTTATCTGTTTCAGTCCAGGATCATAGCAGTTTCTGTAGCAAGGATTTCCAGACTAAAAATTATGGGTACTTATAGGGCTGTGAAGAAGGAAGTGTATCCTCGAGTGACTCCTAGGAGTGTGGGGTGGGAGAAATCTGGCCTCAAGCTGCTGGGATGCAGCAGACGACTGTGGGGCCTTCAACAGAGGGGTTAGAGACCTTCTGCACTGAGCAGAACAGGAAGAATGAATCATTAAAAAGAACTTTTAAATCATGAAGATAGAACAGAGATTCCAAAACAGATGTGATTACCACAGAATATTATCTATCTAATGGAGAAAAGATATACTTCAGAACAAGTTTGTATACACATACACAAGCATATGCAGAACTGATTAAGCACTGCTCAGTAAGTTTGTTCTGGTTCTGTTTTTTTATGTGTGTAAATGGAAAAAATATGGCATCTGATAACAAAATCAACAGACAACTGAAAGTGACCAGACATCAAAGGGTTTTGAAGGCTAATAAAGTCTTTCCCCATCCTGGAGAGGGTCTGATCTTTCCCCTCCACTGAATTCCAGATCCAGTTATGAAAGAACAGCAACTTTTTTTGGCTATAATGGACCTAAGAGGTAACAGATCCAGTCCTGATGGGAGAATGACAAAAGGCAGAAGTTTTGAATCCTGTTCTGCCCTCATTTACTCTAAATATATAATTATCACAATTCAGAGCTCCTTGTGGATTTGAAATGACACAAGTAAAGACAAAGTTATGATAATAATGAGTTTTCACATAATTTAATTTAATATATACTTTGTATAAATTATACAAAGGGAGGTCGGACCAGATGACCCATTGGTCTCTTCCAATCTGACCCATTTTGTGATTCTGTGAATACTTCTCATCTGAGTAGAGTTTATGTCCTTGCTATCTAAAATCACTAGTACAAATATCCTGTAAAGGAATTTATATTTTACAGCTCTTCCATTCAGTATCACAATGCCAGAAGAAGTTAGACCTTCAGAGAAGAGAACTTACTGGCCATAATGGATTGTGGTTACTGAGACACTTTGAGAAAAAAATTGCAAAGGAATGGATACTTGTGCTGTAATTGCTAGAGAAAGACAGCTAAGGAAAATCTTAATGAAGCTTCAGGGCATGACTCTTAGGTCAAGACTAGAGTAAGACTCAAGTGTGTCTGCCTTCTAGAGAGAAGGTAAAAAAGAGTAGTTTGTGAAAGAGGAATCTTACTGGCCTGCAAAAGCCAAACAATGCTGTAGACCTATACAGGCATGGCATAAACTCACCAGTCTTCCTAGCTCAGGAAAATCCCAACACAATTTTGTTTTTCTCAAAAGCCAGTATTGACACACTGCAGCTGGACTTCCTTGTAGCTCACAGTTCAGTGGGCTATTCCTGCTATGAAGCACAACATATCCAGGCAGCACATTGTTGCTAAAGCTAAAAAAACCTCGTTGTATAGTAGTAGTTTATGGTCTTTATCAAGGTCGTAGTTTTGGATGTAGTATACTCTGAACACATGATGAGGCATAAAGCAGACTAATGTTACCAAGATGAAGAAGAAACTCTTTGCCTGAGCCCTGAATTCCACGTGAGAGTTAATGTCAGGCCAGTATTTCATGGCTACTCTATAGATCACAGTCAGCTGGATTCCGGTGAGCACAGCACATGCTGCCACCAAAATCCCAGCCAGGCAGTAGTTCATGATCACCATGTGAGCCTCCTGCAGCTCCCTGTGGAACTGGAAGCACTCGCAGGAGCGGTAAGTCTTCGAGGTGCCGTAGTAGGAGAGGAGAACAGGCGTGACCACCAGTGCTCCCAGCAGCCAGACAGCCCCCACCCAGGCCGCGGTGTAGCACTTGCGAAACTCCAGGCGGAGGAGGCGCGCTACGATGATGGCCACGTAAAAGGCGAAGGTGGCGTACATGTGCAGGTAGATGATGGCGCCCGCCAGCCTGCAGGCGAACCTCCCGAATTTCCACTCCCCCAAAATGTAGTAGCTGAGGCGGAAGGGGATGCTGAGGAGCATGAAGCTGTGCAGCACCAGGAGGCTGATGATCATGATGGTCATCACAGATTGGGATCTCCTTTGAAACAACTGCTGGGACATCATGATGACCCCAATGGTGCCGCCAGCCAGGTTAATGATGTACAGGACTATCAGAACAGCGTGGAGTTTCTCTGAGGAGTCCAGCACTGTGCCATTGGAGGAATGGTTCTGTTGGGTTATGCAGCTGTTAAGCATTCTCGTAAGTTCCTCTTTTGAAGGTTGCTGAAAAGGAAAAATAGGAGTAAAACATTTTTCTTTGTTATTTCGTTTATTGTTAACTGGAATATCACAGGTTCCTAAAGAGAAACTACTGAATTGCATCTGAAATTATGTTATCCCATGAAGTTTACAGTCTTATAACTGTTGTGATCCTGCATATTACAGCAGTAACCTGTGCCTCAAGGTTAATACTACCTTTTGCATAATTATGAATGAGATTTTGATTTACTAAACTGCTTTCCAGGATTTTTTAAAAAATTACTTGCCTCTAGATTCAGCCATTTGTTATAACGAAGACACTGTTTGTAAATTGTGCAAGTTTTATCTGCACTCATATTATCAAGCTTAAATTGATGGTGGAAAAATACTGAAACATGAAGATGTCATACCTATCACATGTGGATACTCTGTGATGACACCTTATCCATCTTTTTAGCATTTTGTTGGATGGATACAAAATACACATAGGTAGCAATGGTTTGTTTCTAGATACACGGAGGAAATTGAAAATAAAGGTTTGCAGATGAAAATTCAATTTCTTCTTGCTTCATCTGCAGGTATTTTTTGCTACAGAATTTTACCTGAGTTACTCTACTATAAAAAGTGATGAAAAGCGGAAAATTAATTTGGGAATAGTCTGCTAAAAGATATAATTCTTTTGGCAGTTGTTGAACATAGCCACATACAGCTGCATTCTTATTTAGACTTAACTCAAAATGCGGACTTGTATACAGATTTGTGTACAAATAGACAAGCATAGCTCACGGGGTAGATAGATACTTTGCTAATGAAATGTATCCTTACCTTGTATAGAGTTTTGAAAGAACAAAGTAAGAGCTAAAAAATTATCTCTTAAAAAAAGCAGCACTTTCTCTGTCTAATTCCTTTGAAGTTTGAAATCAGTAAGCTTGTTTTAATCGGCAGTTCTTAATTCTTTGCACTCATCTGTAAAGTGATAGACTACCACTGCAAAACATTTTCAGAGAAACTTATTTATGAAGCATCAGGCAAAACATCTTTAAAAAGCCAAGATCGATATAAACCTTTCTGTTCACCTGCTTTTAAAATTCATGACCCTAAAGTGTTTAAATGTTTAAAATTGTTTACCTGCCTAATATTCCCAAGACAAGCACAAGAAATTTCCCAGAAACTTTGCTACACCAAAAGTTTTACAAACCAATCCATTTTCCAATGTATATTGTGAATATTTCAAATTGGCTTTGAAAATGTACAAGATTTAGTTATTCTAGACAGCATAATTACAGTTTAATTACAGCACTTTATATCACTTTGAAATAGCTTGCAATTTTTTTTGCTATTTATAGCAATAAAATATTTGAATTTTACCTTATAATCTCTTCTTTTTGTGACTCCACCCTGAAATGTGTCATTTCATGCAGCTGTAGCATATGGCATACACTAGCAAAGTGAAAAAGACAGCCTTTGACCCGTTTGACCAAGGACTGAGTTTTCTCAGCCCACACACAGGAAGGAACAAGCCTTCCTTTTGCTCCTCTGTGATAACAATCTCATATGTGTGATGTCTAACGCTCTTTTCATCATGCAGGGAGAACCACAGAAAAGTTGCTGAGCTGCCAGAGACTATCATTGTGCTGGGACATGTAGAACATATCAAGTCAGGACTTCCCCTGACCACAATTTGGTTTGTCTTAAAGCTCAGGCAGACAGTGATTCCCTGAGCCATACAACTCCACAAGGTACCAGGTTTTGCTGCTAAACAAGTGAGAAGTGCCAATGGTTAAGGAAAGAAATGTGCACCTGAGCAAACTGATCAAGGAAAGAAATATCCACTTTCCCCCTTAACTTGCTTTGTGTTTAATAATTAAGCTAAATGTTCTAGAATAACAAAGTGTTTAGCAGAGTCAACAGGGGATTTCACTCTAACATGTTACTAGACTGTCAAGAATTCAGAGGTGATTTCTCACTGTTTAAATATGATATATAAAACAAGCTGTAGGCATATATGAAAAGCAACTTAAGAGTTCCTGCTGTAAAAAAAAAAAAAGACATAGAGAAGCCAGTGGGCTTTGAAAATTATTCTTGAACCAAAGGCATGAATGCAGATCCCAAAACATATCATTAGTACATGGCAGCTCACTAAAAAGAGGAAGAATTTGAGTCATATCTCTTGTAGAGACATTAAAAAGCATATTCTTGACCAAAAATTAAACAAAAAAATGTTAGTCCTGTTTATTTTTCTACTAAAGTTCTAGACTTCAATTGGAGTCATCCCTACTCAAACATGATAGGCAACACATAAGGTTTTGTGAGCAAACAATAGCATAAAAACAATATTGCAGTAGGGTTGAACTAGCATTGCCCCTGCCATCAGTCAGCCACCTTCTGCTCTGGATGAGAGGATGGTTCCCTTTGAGAGGCATGTCTCCTGCTAAGAACAGTGTTAGGAAGATCAAGATGTGAAAGAGTGCTACCAGAACTAAATAAATACAAAAACTTAAAAAATAAAAAGTTGAGAACAGAAACAGGAAAGTCTCTGAGGGTGAGCAAGGATGTGGGAACAGCAGTCTGTGAGACATTCTCAGGATAAATCCTGAAAGCTTTGAGAGAGCAGTTACCATTTCATTCAGACCAGGATTCAGAACAGCAGGGATGCCCATTTTGGACAGTGCATATATTTGTGGGCTTGGAGTAAAAGAAACGTGTGATTGTTCCATCAGAGCACTGATGGAGAGCAGCTACCTGGGTAATGGTACTCACCAGCTGTGGTTCCAGTATCACCTAATCCCACATAAGGACAGGCTGCTGCCTGACACTGTAGTGATGGTGGTTGGATGGCAAAATGATAGCTGGGTCTGCAGCAATGTGCAGCAAAGTAGTGAACAGCCTGGATGTCAGACACTGGTGGTTTCCATGTGTTAGAAAGATCATGAAACCACAGCCACATCCTCTGGGTGAAGCAGAGAAATGGCTGCTGCCTTGTCCACAGAGCTTGAAGGAATCCATAAACCTTGAACCACCATGTGAAATCAGAAGAGACGTGAAGAAATTGCATTCCTCAAGTAGCTGTTTTGTGACAGCCAGTACTCCAGCCAGAGCTGAATCAGACTCTGAGATCAGGAGCTTGGTGCACTCTGTTACCTTCTTGAGTCCAGTCTAAGCTCTTTCGATGTAAAATCAGGCCAAAACCCAGCAAAGATGTTGCACAGATAATTCTCTTGTCACCCTGGGGACAGTGCTGTTGGCTGGCACCAAAACTGCTGAAGGTCAGAAACTGGACTTCTCCACTGATGTTTTCATATCTCTCAATCTCTTTTTCCTTGAAACATTCCTTGAAACTTGTATGCTAATGCCGTTCAATGTGTAACCTTGTATCTTCATGTTCTTCTGTTAAATAAATAAAAAATAATTTAAAAATCAGGCAACTCAGCCCTGTAATCTAGGTTTAGGTTAGCCTTTATTTGAGTACAAGAGAAAATTTAGTCAGTACACAGCATGCCTTGACCAGTGGTGAGAATAAAGATTGAAAGAGGAATGTGTTTATACACAGCAGAGATTCAGGTCAAGACTAGAATTACACATAGATTTTAAGGAAGGAAGGGACTGGGCGTATCTGGTTCAGCACTGGGGTAAACAGAAGGCAAAGAAGAAGAGTGGAGATTTCAACTACCGAACTGGAAAAATGAAACAGAAGAAAAGGAAGAAGAAGCAGCAGTTGAGAGAAAAGAAACAAGGCCTGTTGTGTGTTTGGAGATGGGACGAATCTCTGTGGAAGTGTCACTGCTGGTGCCCATGCATGTGTGCAGCAGACTTCCTCTTAGCAGGGACTGGGTCCACAGTAGAGCTCTAACTTCTCCATTTCATGTCTGCATGATTTCCTCTGCTATCTCATCAGTTTTTAAAAAAATATTATCTTTTCTGGTCAGTATAATAACAACCAAGGCTTCACATTCGGTTTCAAGAGATGTTTTCTGTCCTGTCCTTTGTGGTTGGATAGATTTTCAGTTGTACCTACTTCTAAGTTAGGGTGAAAGCTGCTGATAATTCAAATTATTTATTAATATTAATCCTCTATAGCTAGCTGCTTACAAGAACTGGGCTACACATAGGACATAAACAATGGTAAAATAGGGAACACCGGTGTGTGTTATGCTTTATCATACTGCTTTTTCTGGGATTGCAGGTGAAATAGCTCTTGCTGTCTCACTCCCACCTTGTCAGACGTGAGTCATAGGTACTAGATAGTAAGAAAATCATACTCCATAGTTAGGGAACATACATTATAATCCCTTTAATTTTCCAGTCCCACCCGCCCATGCATCATGAATAATTTACTACCTTCAGCCAGTAAATGGTCAACAAGTTTAGCAGAACTTTTCAGATTCTTGGACTACTCTTCTAATTACTTGATTGCAGGTTTACTGAGAGATTTCTCAGGCATTGCCAGCATGGAAGAGGCTGTCTGGACTCTCTGTTTATTAGAAATCATAATATATAGTTGCCTTAGTCATATATATTTAGTATGCCTCAAAAGTAGACATTATGTTTTGTATAAATAGAAGTAATAAATAATGGATTTCTGTGGAGGAATTTGGCAGAGTATATCGCAGGCAGGCTATGACGTACCTTTTAAAACAAAGCTGATATTTATTTGGTTTGGTGCAAAGAGAAGAGATTTATTATTATGAACTCAGGAACTTGTCATTATTCTCCTATCCTGGTACATAACAGTTTAGAGGTAAGTTAGAAGAGTTATTGAATAGTTTTGTCCCACTATTTGGTCTAATTGCCCTCCAACACCTGTAGTGACAATTAAAGTTGTTGTTGCTTTAGTTTACTTTGATATTACTGGCTATAAAGCCATTTTACTTGGGAACAGCTGCCGAAAACCAGAGGTAAGTCAAGGATCTGGCACCAAAAGCATAAATTTTTCCTTATCCCAAATGCTTTCCTTTCTGCTTGACCATGCTGCTACTCCCTGTCTTTTTCAAACTTCCCTTTGCTTCAGTCTCACAGCCTTTCTCAGAAGTCTGTGTCTCAAGGGATAGCTCCACATAATGCTGCTATACGTGGTTTCTCATGTTCTGCTTGATAAATAACACCACAGCCACAGAGTCTGAATTCTTTCCTGATACTTATACACAGAGTCAACAAGCCTCTTCAGGAATTAGATCCCTGAAACTAATTCTTGCTTGACACAGAGCTGGGCAAGGCTTAATCTTTATTAAACTAAAAAGCAATTAGAAAGGAAGCATGTAAGCCAATTAACTCATGCAGTTAATAAGAAGGATGTGAAGATGCTGGAGCAAGTCCAGAGGAGGCCACAAAATAATCAGAGAGGTGGAGAACCTCTCCTATAAAAACAGGCTGAGAAAGTCGGGGTTGTTCATCCCAGAGAAGAGGATGCTCTGGGGAGACCTTGGAGAACTTTCCAGTACATAAAGGGGACCTACAGGAAAGATGGAGAGGGACTTTTCACAAGGACAGGTAGGGGTAGGATAGTGGTAATGGCTTTGAAGTGAAAGAGGAGAGATTTAGATTAGATAGGAGGAAGAAATTCTTTACTGTGAGGGTGGTGAGGCACTGAGCAGGTTACACAGAGAAGCTGTGGATGCCCCATTCCTGGAAGTGTTCAGGACTTTGACAGAAGAGCCTTTGAGTAAAGTAGTCTAGTGGAAGGTGCTCCTGCTCATGTCAGGGGTGCTGGAACTTGGTGATATTTGAGGTCCCTTCCACACCAAGGGATTCTATGATTCTATGATCAGGTTTTATGCTTGGGTTGTTTTCACAAATTTGCATTGATCCTAACTCTCCAGGATCTTAAAACTGCGTGTTTGTAGCCACATTTCACAAAAATGAATCTTGGTTTTACAGAAGGGAGGTTCCCATATTTCTGAAAGAAAAGAAAGTGCTTATGTTCTGAATAGAGTTGCAGAGAGAGCACTAGAGGACAGGGATGAGGACTCTAAATACTAAAAATGATTGAATTTGTCAGTAAATTAGTTTATAATCCAGATGAGTCTGGTATCTAGAGGCCTGTCATCCCAATTTCATCAAAATGCACATCTATAAAAGTCAGTTAATCATAAAATAAGAAAAAAAAGGAGGATTTTGAGCTATTGAGAATTTGAAGTATCCAATATCAGCTCCATAGGAATGAAACCTGTGAGCAAATCAGAAGAAAAATAATTAGCATTTATTCTTGAGAGTGTTGGGTGGTAGGGAGTGGGAATGAATATCAATAGCACAAATTCTAAGATACAAAGGAAATTAAATATATTAAATATGAGTACAAAAGAGAACACCTAGAGCACCTTCAAAAAATAATGATGTTTCATTCTGTTCTCAGGGGTACAAAATGGACTGGTTGTGAAAGGAGAAGGTTCTTTAGTTCCTATCACTAAAAAGAGAACTGAATATAAAAACCATCCTGCAAGCTATCAGACTTTTCTGATTTAATTTCCTGTGAGATATCCAAAATGCCTAAAGAAGCAAAAGTGAGTTTGAAATTTGAACATTTTGGCTAGTAGATGCCCCCACAGAAATTTTTCCTTCAAGCCCCTTGAAGAAAAGACAGGGTTAGTCCCAGAAACAGAGGAAACTCTGAAGCTGAGGCCATTTGGCGCTGGACAGAGCCCTGTGTTTACAAAAATGGATGCTCTCAACTTCAGAGAGCCTTGGCCATAGGTTGACTGCCATTTGCAGAGGAAAACACAGCAGAAAAAGAGCAGGTCTGCAGCACTCAGCGACAGAAGTGGCTTCAAGCATTGTGCAGACAGGAATAATCTTAAGGGATGTAAAAAGAGATGCTCACCATATATTTAAAGTGTATTTCCTCCCAATCCCTGCCTTGGGAAAGGTTCTGTTGGCTTCCTTCCAATCCCTGCCTTGGGAAAGGTTCTGTTCACTCCTTCAATGATGCCAGTGGCAGCCAGGAATGAACCTCTGTGCTGGCAAGTCCATCATCCATGGTTCCAGCAGAACAATGCCATTTCTGGCTGCCTTTTTTGCTAGTTGGGAAATCTCTATGCTTCCATTATGCACACTGTTTAGAGGAATGAAATGCAATGAATGCTGTGTGTAAGTCTGTTTATAGCCCATACTCTCAGCACATGGCAAAGAGAATATGTATAACCAACAAAAGTGCTCTCATGATAAATTGATCATAATCCTAAGTGCCATCAAACTGTCTACATAGATCCATTCAATGTTTTCACTATTTCTTTGTTTCCTCAGTTCAAGGATTTGAGCAATTATTGTAATTGTAAGAATATTTCTACTCTAAAGCATAGATGGGCCATGCTGCTAATTAACATATTTTACCCTAACTCTGTGAAAATGGAATATGTGATAGGTTCCAACTGAACTGTGCATCAGAGTCCTGTTGAACTTATCTTTCCATCATAACAAAAATAGATTCTAGAACAAAAGAATAGGATGGAGGGGAATGTTTAAAATGAAGTGATTAATTTAATTGCTTTTTATTCAACCACCAGTAATTCGTAGAAATGAAGGATGGGAAAATCCATTTATTTATTTATTTATTTATTTAGCTAGTTATTTAAGTCAAGACTGAGAGAGAGAAAAGATTGCCTTAAGTATGATTAATAATAATTTGATCTAAAATGTAGATGAAAATCAGGGAGGAAGTTTACCTACACGTTTCAAATTTCATAGACCTATGTGCTTCAATTGTGTATTTTCAATGTACATAATAGAAGAAATAATTGTAGTAGAAATAAGCATCTTTAAGCACATTATATTTAGCTATAAACCTGAAGGCTTAATTAATTGAAAAATTCAAAATTTGGTTCCTTTATATGAGAAGACATAAACTGTCAAAAATAAATCCAGGGATTATGTTCTCAGTTCAAAGGAGGACACTGAAAAGACCAATTAATTTCCTTCTTACTTTTTTTTTTTCACTAAGCATGCTTTAAGGCAAGACTGTCAAAACATTGTTAGCCAGCAGAAACCAGTTGCTACCTATGAGAGGATAAAATTAATGAATTCAAATGTTGTTTTTTAGATCCTCCTGATATTTCAAAATCCTCCTGATTAAAAAATGAACAAATAACAGACCTTTCCTGTTTGAGCCTTAGGAATTTTTTTTTGCTTTGCAAGTTCAAATTTAACAATTTGAATAAAAATGAGATTGTATTAGAATCCAATTTTATTTTCAAAACTAAAGCTCTTAAACCACAAGTTTAAGGAATTTTACAGTCTTTTAACTCCTTTAAAAATGTGTTCTAAATTCTGGCTAGTAGCTAAGCTAAGCCCTCCCTCATTTCCCCAGAGGGGTGGAGATGTGAACTGGAAGGGCAAAAGAGAGAAGAAAACTTTTGAGTCAAGATAAAGGCAGCTTAATAAGTGGAGAGGGATAAAGGGAAATATGAATTAAGCCATGCAAGAGCAGTCATCACTCACCACCAGAAAATGATGCCCGATCTGTCTCTGAGCAGCAGCTACTTTGGCAAAACTTCCCCTTCCCAGTTTTCTGCTGAGTGTGTTGTTGTGTGGTATGAAGATTCCTTTGGACAGTTCAGATCAGCTGTGCTCTCCCCACCTCCTTCCCCCCCTCAGCCCATGGGCTAGAGGAGCAGATTCACAAAAGAGAGAAGGTGTTGGTGCCATGAAACCTTGGCTCAGCAAGGGCTACACCACTGGTGTGTTATCAACACTGTTTTTGCCACTAATCTAAAACACAGCACCATATGGGCAGCTCTGGAGAAAAATTGCTCTGTCCCAGCCAGAGCCAGTACAGGAAAAGAAAAATACAGTTGTGAAAAAAACTGTCTAAATAATCTGGATATGTAATAAAATATTAGTAATTTCAAAATGAAAACTTTTGTTTGGAAAAAAAATTTGAAAAGTAAGTTGAAAAGCTTGTCTCAAATATGGATTAATCCAGGAAAAAACCTTTCTGGGTTAAACCTTCCTCTGAATGAACCAGTAATAAGGACAATACTTACATAATATTTTCCTAAAAGCATCTGTCTCTGGTATCAAAACTCTCATTTGGCAGAAGAAGACAGGAACAGAGTGGGGTATGTTAAAAAGTGTTTGGTCACTGGAAGATGGGGCATATCAGGTGAGCAAGGGTGTGAGGGTCAAACATGGCACTGAAAGACTTCCAGAGAAGAGCTGCCAGGAGAAGCTGGCAGCCAGTCAGTGGCAAAGCTCCTCAGTGCTGGATCTGGCTGTGTAACAGGAGAGAGAGCTTTGTGGATAGCATGGAGTGGGAGGAAGCAGTAATGTGCTGGCAGCTGAGGCTGCTGTTCATAGGGACCTCAGCAGGCTGGGGGAATAGTGGTCAGCCTCCCCCTGCTGTAATTTAGTTAATTGTGCCTTGGGGCAGCAAGCTGTGTGGTTGTTGGTAAAATATGCTTTGAAAAGAAGAAGAAGGTAAGAATATGGAACCCATTGTGTGTTGTTTGTCAGATCACTTTATTCTTTTTTAATAAGAGCTTTGGGTACCACAAATAAAGTTTGGATTAGGAACACTTAGGGGAAGCAGGAGGGCAGCACCAGTCTCTTCTCTCTAGTGACCAGCGACAGGGCTCAAGGGAATGGCTTCAAGCTGTCAGAGGAAGTTCAAGTTGGACATTAGGAAAAGGTTCTTCACCCACAGGGTGGTCGAGCACTGGAACTGACTTCCTAGGAAATGGCTGTTCCTGAGCTTGCCAGAGCTCAGGAGACATTTGGACAATGCTCTCAAGGACGTGGTGCGATCCTTGGGGTTGTCCTGTGCAGGAACAGGAGTTGGACTTTGTACCCTGAGTGTTCTTTCCATTTCAGGGTCTTCTTGAACTGCAGCTGTGGTAGAGGAGAATTAGTTGCATATTAGAAAAGGTTCTTCCCCCAGAGCGTGGTTGGGCACTGGAACATGATCCCCAGGGAAGTGGTCACAGCACCAGCCTGACAGAGTTCAAGAAGCATTTGTACAGCTCTCAGGCACATGGTGTGATTCTTTGGGTGTCCAGTGTAGGGACAGGAGCTGGACTCGGTGATCCTTGAGGGTCCCTTCCAATTCAGCACATTCTATTGAATCTGGGATTCTGTGGTATTCATTTGAGAGTGGTGGAGCCTACAGCCTACAGTCAGGAGGCCTAGAGCTCCAACACCAGAGAAAGTGTTTGGATCCTCCATCCTTAGATTTTTGAAATACAACTGGACTCAGTTCTGGGCAGCCTCATCTAACTTTTGAGTTTAGCCATGCTTTGAGCAGAGGATAGGATTGGATGATTTTGCAAAATTGCTTACTATCCAATTTTGGCTGTGATCTAAATTCATTTCAACACTACAGAGGTGAATCTTCCTTCCTCACCTTTACTTAGTGTTCACAAGTTTGTGAAGGTTCAAGTTACTAAATTTGGTTGCTAAATGTAGTTACTAACTGGCAGCAATTACTAACGTGGAACATTTTGTAACACAAATTTAAGTTATCATTTGCTCCTACGCACATCCTGACCTCCAGAACAAGATTTTGTCCTTGCTATTATTGTATCATCTCAGGAATTTTCTGTTCTAGCAAAATACCCCTTGACATTAAACGATGTGAAACCACCTTGGTCCAACATAATTATTACTTTTGTCATTTTTACTTCACGAGTACTGCAGTGGTTTCACACTCCTACACATTTTTGTAAAAGGTGTTGTTATGGTGATACATTTCACACGCTGTATTTCTTCATATGTGTCTGCTACCACTCTTTTTTGGTCCCCTGTGTACTTAAATATGCTCACAAGTGACCAGTTTGGCGTATTTAATCAAGAAACAGCTGAGACCTTTTTGCAGATTCTATTTTGTCACAGCCTGGATTTTCTTATTTCTCTGTGAATTAACTGCCTTGTCATGTGTTTTATTTATTCTTCTAATTTTGCAGCTTCCTGTGCTTCACATTCATTGGAGTGTTAAGTTTGGTGGTTTGCCATCCTTATTTATTGTCCACACCCACTGCTGCATTACAAAGCAAAATTTTTTTGCTTTCATTCAAAAGAACCAGAGAAGGCTCAGCCTTTCAAGCTGCTTAGTCGACTGAACATTAATACTGCTCAGTGAAACAGGTATCAGCTCAGATTTACAGCCTCCTCTCAGTGGCAGACAGAGTGAGAACTCCATTTTCAAGTGTGGTTATTTTTCATTTTGTTATTTGCGACTGAGTTTCCAGGCTGATTATTGTTGAGACAAAGTAAAGTGCACAAAAGTGTGCAGCATCCATTCAACCCTGAAAGGAGCATATTCTCGAATATCAGAGCAGTGCTACAGTAAATTGCCTCTTTATTTATATAACAGAGCATACAGAGGAGATAACAGCAGAGCTAATGAGACTCTGCATATATATGGGTTACATTAGTAATGAGAAACAGCTCCACTAATTAACTCTGCTCCCTAATGAAATTAAATTCATGCTATAAAAGACTTTTACAATAAAGTCAATACAAACCCCAAGTATATCAGTTTCTAACTCCTTCATTATGGTAGGGTGACATAAACAATATCATGATTTTATATTGGCATGGGACAGTAAGCATTGTTGGTAGGCTGAGCTTGTTCCAGTTTCCACGAAAAGCCCCAATAGCTTCATTTCCTCATCCTTTCCTGCACACATGCAGACTGGTAAATCAGTGAAATCAATTTCTCTCTTAAAAGTTTTAAAGTTAATTTTTGAAAAAAAAAACTTGATACATAAGTTTGCCCATATAAATTTATTAAAAGTAATATAAGCTCAAATTGTAAGCTTGAATTTTTTTCCCAAGTGATAAGCTGAATTCTTAGCAAACTTCACAAAGCATATTCCCACTGACTGGTCCTATGAAGTATCATCTGCCTGATACTTTTTAAGCATTTCCTTACTA